CTTCTGCTGCAGACCAACTGGACTCCCTGGAGCCCACAAACTAGAGTGTCTGAGTCCACGGAAACACAGAGATGGTGGCCGCCCCAACCCCCCAGATCTCGGTAGTCTCAGGCAGCCTCCAACCTATTGCCACTGGTTGGCTGGTATTCCAAGCTAGTGGGTCTTAACCTGAGAGGGGTCTTGGAAGTGGGGACAGTAGAATGAGGCTGCCTGGCTCCCTGTAATATGGCTCCGATGAGTGCAGGAACACCAGGGCTGTTGTTTCACACATTGAATTGGAGAAAATTACACAAATACACGTGCAGTGGTTTTAATGAGCACAGAGTTTAACAGGCAAGAAAGAAGGAAGATGCTGTCCTCATACAGAGACAAAGGGAGTGGGGGCTCTGAAGCCTAAAGAGGAAACCCGGAGTGCTGGGGATACCAGCCAGTTATATTAAGAGGCTGCGGGAGGTGGTGTTTGATTTGCATAGGGCTCAGGGGATTGGTTTGACCAAGCACGTCATTTAGGTAAGCCCACCTAAAAACTGGCGCTCCCACCCTAGCCTTTAAATATGCACATGCTTGGGGAAATGATGTCCTACACACATGCGGATATGTGGGGCAGCTGTGTTGCCAGGTACAGGTTGGGAGAAGGGCCAGAAGAGGGCGGGAATCGCCATGTTTAGGTGGACCCAGTTTCTAATGGCCGGCATTTGCAGATCAAAGATTCCCAGAGGGCTCTAAGAGCCCGGGCTTTCCTGCTAGACAAGAATCCTTTCTGGAGCTGCTTCAAAAAGAAAGGAAACTTCCCAAGGACATCTTTTCCTCTATATCTGCCTAAAATAATTTCTTAACAACTCCTATAACACGTGAATTCAGCCCCCTTCCTGGCGGAGTGTACAGACAGAACTCCCACCTTTCCCGGCTTCCCAATGCCAGAGTATGTAAAACTCCTGGGTCTCTGTGTGTGTCTGAGTGGCTGCTCTGAAAACACTCCACACAGCCCTGTGTACTGGGCCCAAGGCCCTTATGATTTGAGTTCATGAGGGGATCTCCTGATCCACGGGTTGCAAAGATTCATGGGAGACGCATAGTTTCCAGAGCGGGGTTACATAGTGATTCAATGCTTCTCTTGGCTAAGGGAGAATGTTCCTTTGGCTGTGTGCCAATACCAGGTGGATCATCACTCACCTCCCTTTTCTTTGTTCTGGTGGGACAAGTTGTTTGCCTAGTGAGCCCCAATGTGAGAACCTGGATATTTCTGTTCACACGCTTATTTCAAAATTCACAGCGCTTTTCATTCACAGGAAGGCAGCTGCTTCTAATTGTCCATCTTGGCACCTGCCCTCCACATCCCCTTCTATAAAATGACGCCTGCTCTCCAGGAATAATGCCATTATATAACTTTGCCTGAAACCAACAGAACTCTCATTATACTTATGATGGGCTCATTTACTTCACTTCCAATGAATGTGGCCATGGAAATGCAAGTGGATGAAGTGGTCCATTCTCTTAAGGATGAGGTAGAAACATGGTGTACTGACCAATTAATGACATACGTCTGAAAACTAGCAACTGAGAACCTCAGTCACCGTGTTTACATTTCTAATCAAGAAGATGCTCATCTATGTACTCAACAACCCAGGTTTCCTTGCATCTGAGCTGCTGAAGCGCTTCAAAAACAACATCTCATGTTTCCTAAAGAAGATGATGCCTGGACAAGCAGCACAAGTCGTTCAGGTTTATTTTCGGTTCATAAATTCAGCACGACGTTTACACAATTGTCAGGAAACCTTATCAGGTAACGAGTCCTGCATGTTTCCTTTCATTTCAGGAGGAAGAGGGTGATTCAGTTGAGTTTCCTGAGCTACCCGGCTGCCGTGATTCAATAACCACCAGGAAATTTTGATGATGTTGCTCTCCTGAGCTCCTCCCTGTCCCAGGGAAGACAAAATCATTGAAACTGTGCAAATAAAGTGTTGCTTCGCTGGAATGAGGTCTCATGGCTGTTTATGCGGTGGCTGGCTGCTCAGGACAGGGTAAGTCTCTGGGCTGTGCACTGAGGAGGGGAAACTCTCAATCTGGAGAAAACCCATTGCAGGGGACACCTCCATGGGATCTGAGGGACTGAGGATGAGGAGCTGGACTGGGTGTAGGGAAGGAGGAGGTTTCAGAGGGCAAAAATCTGGAAGTAAATCCTGGACCTGTTTGAAAAATTTCTCCCTCAGAAGGAGAAGATTCAGGGAGGAATAAGGACAAACTGTGGGTGCCTTAAGGGGCATTTACTAATTTGAGAGAACTCTAATGGGAAGCACAGTGACAATGGCCTCCTTGAGGTTTGAGGCCCCAGAGTAAATGAGGCCCAGATCTAGTCCATGGGGGTTGAGACCTTCAGGGGACACATTTTGATTGGGACAGAGTGAAGCGTAGCTGCAGAGGAAGCCCTGGCAATGTGAAAGCGACCTTGGAGGGAGCCGGTGCACTCTGAATGCTGGGGAGCCCCCATCCCCTGTCCCTGCCTCTTTTTCTGGATTGTTTGGGCTCCGTGGTCTCTGCCATCTTCTGAGCTCTTCACGCTGCCCCCTTCAGGTTTCTCTTCTGGGCTCCAAGTACTCCAAAATCTTTCGGATCTGTATCTTTACTTCTGTTTTTAGCATGTGTGGGGCCCCAGGTTCCAGAAAATTTCTGGCCTGAAATCCACCTCCCCAGTCGTGGCGGATTCCACTTTAGCGAATCTGCACTGGGCAAGATCTTTCAAGCCCTTGGGGAAACTGACAACAACTCTACGTGATTTGCCTTAAAAAAAAAAAAAAAAAAAAAAAAAAGAAAGAAAGAAAGAAAGAAAAGAGAAAGGAAGGAGGGAAGGAAGGCAGGCAGGCAAGCAGGAAGAAAACTAGTAAAAACGCTTTTCCTTAACTTCATCCTACTGCTTTTTAATTTGTTGTTATTTCTATTTATATCTTATTGTATTGTCTATTTCTTCAAGAGTTGCGGCAGTTGGTATTTTTTTTCTTGGTTCATCATTTAGTCTTTTTACTTAGAATAACAGTAGTTCACACACTACAGTTAAAGCGTTATACTATTCTGCATTTTTCTGTGTACTTATGATTTCCAGTGAGATTTGTACCTTCAAATGATTATTGATTGCTCACTGATGTTTTTATTTTTCTGATTAAAGTGTTCCCTTTAGCATTTCTTATAGGACACATCTGGCATTGATGAATTCCCTCAGTTTTTGTTTTGTCTGTAAAAGTATTTATTTCTCCTTTATATCAGGAGGATGTTTTTGCCAGATATTCTATTGTAGAGTAAAAGTTATTTTCCCTGAGCACTTTCAATATGTCAGGCCTGTCTCTCCTGTCCTCTAAGTTTCCACCAAAAAGACTGCTGCCAGATGTACTGAAGCTCCACTGTATGTTATTTGTGTCTTTTCTTTTGCTGCTTTTAGTATCCTTTTCTTATCCTTGACTTTTGAGAGTTTGATTATTAAATGCTTAGAGGTCATTTTTTTTGGGTTAAATCTGCTTGGTGTTCTATAACCTTCTTGTACTTGGTTATTGATATCTTTCTCTTGTCTTGGGGGGTTCTTTGTTATTACCTTCTTAAATAAACTTTCTGCCTCCATCGCCGTCTCTACCTCTTCATTAAGATGAATAAATTTTAGGTTGACCCTTTTGAGGCTATTTTCTAGACTCTATGGGCATGCTTCATTGTTGTTTGTTCTTTTTTCTTCTGTCTCCCTTTACTGTGTTTTTCAATTAGCCTGTTTTTGATTCAGGTTGATCCATTCTGCCTTTGAAGGACCCTGCTGCATTCTTTACTAGGCCTATTGCATTTTTCATCTCCAGGATTTCCGCTTGATTCTTTTTAATGATTTCAATCTGTTTGTTAAATTTATCTGATAGAATTCTGAATTCCTTCTCTGCATTCTCCTGAATTTCTCTGAGTTTCCTCAAAATGCTTCTTTTGAATTCTCTGTCTGAAAGGTCACATACCTCTGTTTTTTCAGGATTGACCCCCAGTCCCTTATTTAGTTCATTTGGTGAGTTCCTGTTTTCCTGGATGGTGTTGATGCTAGTAGATGTTCCCTGGTGTCCAGGCACTGGAGGGTTACGTATTATTGTAGTCTTCCCTGTCTAGGCTTATGTGCAGCCATCTTTCTTGGAATGATCTTTCACATATTTGAAGTGACTTGGGTGTTACTGTAAAGGAAAACTGAGGCTGGAGTTGAACCAGGAACAAAGACACAAGGCAAATGGCAGTGAGAATAGCTTTTATTAGGGCTTGCAGGCGAGGTTCCTGGGTCCAAAAGTGTAGCCCGAGGAAGTCGCGCTGAGGAAGGAGGGTAGGGGCTTCTTATAGCCTGAGAGGTAGGGAAGCTGGTTGTGCAAACAGGGCCTGGGAGGTCTTGAAACTACTAGGGCAGGAGTTGAGTAAGGGTCATGAGGAAGGGGTCTTTGGACACTGTTAACCAAAACTGCTGTTTACGAACTTGTGGAGTGCAGGTGAGCTACAGGTCATGGGGGAGTGTGGCTGCCCAGCTGGAACCTCTGACATATGTAAGTCTGAAGGCGTGTTCAAAGAGGAAAGGAAGTCTCAAACAAAGGGCCTGCTTGAACAAAGGGCCTGCTAGGCCAAGTGGCGCCGCCATGTCCGGTCTAGATCCCTGCCTAACATTCCGACCTCTTTCTAATAAGAAAAAAGGGGCGATGTGTTTATCTGGCTGCTTCCTGCTGTTATGGGTCATCGTGGGGTTTTTCAGAGATAGGAACTTGGGTATAGGGGTGGAGCAGCATCTGATTGACAGTGATCCGGGAGACTTCTTTTATGCGGTTCTGGATGAAGCAGAGGATACAGGGAGCTATGAGCAGTAAGAAGCCAATGATTAGTAAGGGGCTTAGGAAGGGTAGGACCAGCCGGCCATGGACGACAGCCACTACCTGAGTGGGGACTCTAATCCTGAGGTTTTTTTGTGAAGTCCTTCTCGGACTTTTTCTAGAGTGAGGAGGTTGGTTTCTACTAGTCCTGACTCATTGATGTAGTAGCAGCATTCTTCATTGAGGAACATACAGGTCCCGCCTTTGTCAGCCGTAAGGAGATCGAGTGCTCTGTGATTCTGGGCTGCCACCTGGGCCACTGAGGTGATCTGTCGTTGGAGGGAAGCCAGGGACTCTGCTGAAGCTTCGATTGCTACCTGTAATCGGGCTGAAAGGTCTTGAAAGGATCGGACAGAATGAGTTAAGGCTCCAGTTCCAAGGCCAGAGGCCATGAGGGATACAGCTAAAGAGACTCCAATCATTAGCAGAAGGAATACTGCTCTTGCCTGGTGGGGGCGGGTAATGGGCAGAAGACAGGATAGCTCAGCTTCACTGTACAGGGTGAGGCTGGGGACTAGGGAGATGGGAACGCATAGGGTAGTGTTGGAAGCCTTGAGAGTTTTTGACAGGGTGGAGTTGTACCAAAAATACCCACCTGGGGGCGCAGTGAGATTTGGAGGTGCCGATCCTGTCCAATTGCACCAGGAAACATTAGGGGTGGAGTAGCAAAAGGGGAGTTGTTGTCTAAGTGGGTCTTGGAACAAAGGAACTTCCCCCAGGGTTTGGCCGGGATGGGAAAAGGAGGGGGTTAGGTTAGAGGAGTTAAATGGGCTAGGTAAAGGTACCACAACCAGTGGGGGCTTATTTAATGCTGCAGACAAGAAAGAATGGGAGATGTTGTGCACTCTGACCATATGTACTACCTGGGCCCCTTCTCTGACTAAGGTTAGCCAAGAAAAAGGGTTACCACTGCTCTGAGGCTTGTTGTCTGAGTTGGCTGTGTTGTCTGGGTTGGCTAGAGCTGAGATGACTTTTTCTTGTTTGATGTTGGAGGCCAGGCTGATGAAGCTGCTTGTGACCCTGACATAGGCTCTATAAATCTTGAGTCAGGCTACGGGATAAGATTCGTAGCCATGCCGGTAAAGGCGAGCCTCTATACCTGATGCCCACTGAGGGTCCCACGGGTCAGGAATGGTAAAGAAGAATGTAGGCACTTCTCCTCGTCCATATGATCTGACTAACTGAACTGTTGATGCAGGTTGCTGCCACTTGGTGTACGACATGTCAAGGTAAGTAAAATGCATGTTACAATAATGATATGGACACCCGCCGTTGGTTTCTACCCAGTAATTGAGACAGTTATATTCTACCTGATCATAGAGAAAGCACAGGACCGGGTTCCACCAGTCGGGGCAACTATTAAAGGCGGAGAAGTTAAAGGTAACCTGACTCTGGCACCCTTGGGACCGGCAGTCAACTGTGGCTAAGATGTGGGAACGTATGTGATTGTTTTGGGTCCAGGTCTCTGACAGATAGAATCTCCAGCGGAATGGGTTGACGGGGGGAGTTTGGGTAGGAGTCTTACCTAGGCTCAGGAGTACTGGATAGCTGAGGAAGGTTAGGCAGAGGGTCCTTACCGGCACGCGGCACGCATAAGTCGTAGTTTAGTAGGGGCAACAGCCTGAACCATCCACCTGGAATCACGCTGGGTGGGTGCTTTTTTCAGCTGGGACAGATGATACCAGGAGGGAAGGCCGAAGAGCTTGGCAGCAGTGGGCGTGGTAAGGATCATGGTATATGGTCCTTCCCACCGGGGAGATAAGGCTCAGGGCTGCAGCTGCTTGACCAGTACCAGGTCTCCTGGTGCTACAATGGCGGGATTTTTAGGGTTTGGGGAAGCAGGTGTGGGGAGACACGGGTCCGCATGTTTTCTTAGAAGCTCGCCTAAGAGGGTTAAGTAAGGGAGGTAGGAGCCTAAGGGAGGGGAGAGGGCTGGCAGCTCCTGGAAGAGGAACGGGCATCTGTACAGTAGCTCAAAAGGGCTGAGCCCTGTGGGGGCCCAAGGAGCTGCCCTGAGATGAGTAAGAGCCAAGGGAAGGAGAGTTATCCACGAGAGGCGGGTTTCTAGAGTGAGCTTGGTTAGATGCAGTTTAAGGAGGCTGTTTGCGCCCTTCTACCTTACCAGACCACTGCGGATGGTAGGGAATGTGGAGCTTCCAGGTAATCTGGAGTGCGGCTGCCACCTGCTGGGTAAGTTTGGAAATGAAAGCCGGACCATTGTCTGATTGGTTGTTTTTGGGGGAGACCGAACCTGGGGACAATGTGCTCTAGGAGAATAGTTGCCGCGACTTCTGCAGTCTCTCCAGTGGTGGGGAAAGCCTCAATCCATCCTGAGAAGGTGTCAACTAAGGTCAGCAGGTAGCAAAATTTTTTATGTCGGGGCATGTGGGTAAAATCAAGTTGCCAATCTTCTCCTTGCTGGTGGCCTCTTAGCTGATGAATAGGCCCTGGGTGCCTGAGCCTACCTTGGGGGTTAGTGGCCAAACAGGTGGCACATTGCTGATGTACTTTCTTAATTTGGGCCTGCAGTGAGGGAAGGTGAAAGATGGGTTCTAAGAAGTTATACATAGCCTTGGGTCCTATGTGGAGAGAGCAGTGTGTGTCAATCAGTATATGTACTGCCTGAGTCTGAGGCAGCGCTATTCGGCTGTCAATGAACACCCACCCATCCTTGTTTTGGGTAACAGTGGGGTGGGCCATCAGGGTTTGAAGTTCCTGGGAAGAGTAGTCTGGGGAATATGTGGGGGAAAGACAGAGTAAAGGCACTGGGGGAGGGGAGGAAGTGAGAGCAGTGGCCCTTGCGGTGGAGTCAGCTAGGCTGTTACCTTGCAACACAGGGTCCTTAGAATGCTGGTGGCTTTTGCATAGGAGTATTGCATGGTGAGTTGGTGGGAACTAGAATGTGCTGTTGGAGCAGGCGTGTAATGATAGGTTTTAATCCCTGTCGATGTTCAAGGGAGATAGGGAACTGGGGTCTAGAGGGAAACTTGGAAGGGTCTGTTAGCCGGATGTGGACCGGGGTATGGTGCTGGGCAATGATTGGGGTGGAGATGTCCCACACTTTAGGGTTAATGGGGACTGGAAACGGGAGTAGGGGGTCAGCCTGGCAAGGTTTGTCAGGTGAGAGGAGGGGGAAAAGGAACACAAGGTGTGGGGAGGGGTTGGGTCAGAAGTGAACTGAGGCCCCTAGCTTGGAGAGGAGGTCTCGTCCTAACAAGGGGACTGGGCATGAAGGAATGATAAGAAATGAGTGCAAGAAGAGGGAGCCATCCAGGCGGCAAGACGGAGCCATCCAGGCGGCAAGACAGAGGAGGAGTCTGGCGGTAGGTGGAGGGAGTACCATCAATTCGCATGACTGTGACAGTGGAGGGGTGGCTGGGGCCACTGAATGAAGGCAAAACAGAGTAGGTAGCCCCCGTATCCACAAGGAAGAATATGGACTTACCCGCTACCTGGAGCATGACCCTGGGCTCAGCGAGAGTGAGAGGGGTCCCTGAGTCTGGGCCTCTTCAATCTTCGTCAGTGTCGAGGAGCTAGAAGGCACCTCCAATACCCAGAGGAGGTCGTCACGTGGAGGTGCAGCGACCATCCTTAGGTTGGGGCAGTCTGACCTCCAGTGGCCCATCTGCCAACAGTTCAGACAGTGGCGAGTTGGCTCCTTTGGGTTAGGGCACTGCCTGGCCCAGTGGCCTTCGTTGCCACACTTGAAGCAGGCACCAGATGGCGCTCGGGGAGTACCTCCTTTCTGGGAGCTCCTGAAGCTGACTGGCCTCAGGGCTGCAACCAAGGTCTGGGTTTGGAGTTGTACCTTCTGTTTTAGCCTGGCCTGTGATTGGGCCTCAGCTGCTTCCTCCCTGGAGTTGTAGACCTTGAAGGCCAGTTTGACTAAATCCTGGATGGGAGTTTGAGGGCCGTCCTCCACCTTTTTTAACTTTTTTTGAATATCGGGGGCTGACTGAGAAATGAAATATGAGGCCAAGACGGTCCTCCCTGCGGGGGAGGCAGGGTCAAGGCGGGTGTACTGAATAAGTGCCTCAGTCAGCCAGTTAAGAAAAGTGGCCAGATTTTCATCTGCACCTTGGACTACCTCTTTTAGTTTGTTAAAGTTGACTGATTTGTTAGAGGCTGCCTGCACACCAGCAAGAAGGCACTGAACCATCATGTCTCAGCAGCGGCGGCCTGCCTGCCCTACCTGGTAGTCCCAGTCGGGCTCAGCCAAGGGCACTGCCTTGGTGCCGACTGGCATGGCAGAGTTAGTTAAATGAACCTGGTTAGCATGCTGCCTGGCTGCCGCTAGGATGCATTCCTGCTCCTCAGGAGACAGGGATGAGGTCATAACGACATGGAGGTCGTGCCAGGTAAGATAATATGCCTGGCATAGATACCTGAACTCTTTGATATAATGAGGAGGATTGGCCAGAAAGGAGCCTGCACGCTCTTCAACCTTAGACAAGTCTGCCAATGAAAATGGCACATGGACCGGGGCTACTCCTTCGGCGCCTGCTATCTCTCGTAAGGGACACAGGAGGTTGGTCTTGGACTGAGTATGGGCTGAGACAGGCGAGGAGGGAGAGGAGGTGGAGGTAGGGGAGACAGAATCTGTCAGGTTTGGTAAGGGCACAGGAGGGGTGGAAGGGAGGGGAGGCATTGTTGAGGATGGGGATAATGGTGGGTCAGGGTAAGGAGGAGGTTGGGTGGGAGACCGGAGGGGTGGCCAGGAAAGTGTGTCAGGAGGCTCAGAAAAAGAGGAGGAATCATCCCTCTCTTTGCTCGAGGGAAGAGACTTTGCGACTAGGACCTGAGCTAACGAGCACTGGGCGCAGAGATCTGGGTGAGAACGCGAGTCCCAAAAGGCTTGAACATAGGGTATTTCATGCCATTTACCTAGTCTCTTGCAGAAGTTGGTCAGATCCATGAGAACGTTAAAGTCTAGAGTGCCTTCTGCAGGCCACTGAGACTGATTATCCAATTTATATTGCAACCATGCTATTGTGCAGAAGAAAATGAGCCACTTTCATTTTATGTCTTGGCTGAGACTTAAAGTCTGGAGATTCGCCAAGAGGCACCCCAGAGGGGATTTTCAGTTTGGTTTGGACTGGGTACTTCCCATGGTCTCAAGGCGGGCAGTCCGGAGGCAATGGGAGTGTCCTCTCACTGCCACATGGAGTGCGGGGTACGGTGGCTTCCAGGGAGGTTGGACGTCTCCTAGTCCCCAGTGCCGAGGTCACAGTTGACTAGAGAGAGCCCCTGATGCGGCCGTAAGTTTTGGACAGGGACTCCAAGAGGGAGCCTTCAGGACAGGGGGAAAACTTACCCAGCAGTGTTCGAATTGAGTCTTAAATTTGGTGAGACTGTTCCAGGCTTGAGGAGGCGATCCTGGCTTGAGGAGAAGAGAGCCTGCCCGACCTAGCAGGGGTCCGGGGAGGGGTCTCCTCCTGGGTTTTGGCACCAAATGTAAAGGTAAACTGAGGCTGGAGCCGAACCAGGAATGAAGACACAAGGCAAATGGCAGTGAGAATAGCTTTTATTAGGGCTTGCGGGCGAGGTTCCTTGGTCCAAAGGCATGGGCCAAGGAAGTCACGCTGAGGGAGGAGGGTAGGGGTTTCTTATAGCCTGAGAGGTAGGGAAGCTGGTTGTGCAAACAGGGCCTGGGGGGTCTTGAAACTACTAGGGCAGGAGTTGAGTAAGGGTCATGAGGAAGGGGTCTTTGGAAACTGTTAACTGAAACTGCTGTTTACGAACTTGTGGAATGCAGGTGAGCTGCAGGTCATGGGGGAGTGTGGCTGCCCAGCCGGAATCTCTGATGTATATAAGTCTGAAGGTGTGTTCAAAGAGGAAGGGAAGTCTTGAACAAAGGGCCTGCTCAAACAAAGGGCCTGCTACGCCGAGTGGTGCCGCCATGTCGAGTCTAGATCCCTGCCTAACAGTTGCAATCCAAGCTGTATCTGCTTTAGGGAGCACCCAAATCCAAGTAATGCTGTGGTTTTTGCAGACTTACTATTTTGATAGTATTGGAGAAGATTCAGGACAATTTTCTGAAATGCTAGGTGGACACTCTCATTCCCTTTTCTTACTTTCTCCCAAACATAGAGAGTCTTTGTCTGTTTTCTGAGTCACACAATCCTGGGGGTGGAGTGATGTAAGCATCAATATGGCAGCCACCACTGTGAATGCACTGGCTCAGATTTGAAGCCACCATACACAGCACTGAGTCTTGGCCAAGGCTTGC